TCTCTCTCACACACACACACAAGCTCACACATCCTTTTGGAAAAACAGAGCAAGAGGACTCGTACCTAACATTTTCACAGTTTGCTTGTTGTTCTTATCCCTGATGGCAGTGTTCGGACCGATGTTCTTTCTCTTCCTCCTCCAGAGCTTCCTCCCGATGAGGCTGTACAGCACGGTCAGGCAGAACACGGGCAGGAAGAAGAAGATGCTGGAGGTCCAGACCATGATGGTGAGCAGCCCCGAGCGGATGGCGTACTCTGTGGCTCGGCACTCGTTGGTGCTCAGGGGGTTCGTGCCGTTCTCGTGCTCGACCCCCACCAGGATGAAGATGGGGCCGGCGCTGATGAAGGAGATGGCCCAGAGGAAGAGGATGACCAGCTTGACCTTCCCTTTGGTGATGATGACTTTAGCTCGCAGGGGGAAGCAGATGGCGACGTACCGCTCCACGCTGAGCGCCGTGATGTTGAGGATGGTGGAGTAGGTGCAGCTCTCGCTGATGAACTGGAAGAGCTTGCAGAGGAGGTTCCCGAAGTTCCAGGGCCGGTACTGCCAGAGGCGGAAGAGGTCCAGGGGCATGCAGAGGAAGATGAGCAGGTCGGAGAAGGCCATGCTGGACAAGTAGAAGTTGGTGGTGGTCCTCATGTCCCGGAACCGCGACACCACCAGCATGGTCATGAGGTTGCCGATGATCCCGATGACGAAGAGCAGGACGCAGGCGACGGTGATGCCGGTGAGCACGGGCACGGGGAACAGGTGCAGCGGGTGCTCGGCGCCCGTCCGGTTCTCCGCGCCGCGGCCGCCCGCGCTCCCCTCCCGCATCCTGGCGCCGCGGGCTGCGCATCCCCGCCCGGCGCGGCGCGGCCCTGCCCCGCGCGGTCCCGCTGCTCGCCCGGGCAGGTGCGGGGCCGGGGGCGGGCAGGGACGGCGGAGACGGGCAGGGACGGGCAGGGACGGGCAGGGACGGGCAGGGACGGGCAGGGACGGGCGGCCCCGCTCCGCCTCTCCGCGCTCCGCCGCTCCCCCCGGCCCGGGGCGGGCGGGCGCCGCCGCTGCCGCGCGTCACAGGAGACGTGGGCACGGAGCGGCCCCGCTGCGACCCCCGCGGCCGCTCCCGAGCCGCCGAACTTTCTTACCGAAAGAGCACGGCTCAGCCCCGCCGGGTGCGCCCCCGCTCCCCGCCCCACCGCCCGCCCGCTTGGGCAGGTGCGGCTGGCGGCGCTCCCGGAGCCCGGTGCGGTGCCCCGGAGCCCCGGTGCGGTGCCCGGCCGTGCTCCGGAGCCCCGCGGCCGTGCCCGTCCGTGCTCCCCGGGCAGGGGTCCCTTCCCCGGGCAGGGGTCCCAGCGCTCTGTCCCCGCACGCTTCGCCCCGCGGCCGCTCCCGCAGCCTCCTCGCTCCGTATCTTTGCTCTGCCCTTGGATCTTGGCAGGAGCCCGGCCAGGCTCCAGTTCAGTGAAGCTGCAGCCGCCACCCGCTTCTACATGATTTACCTGCAATTAAATTTCAATTCAGCGTGTTACTGCTGTCCTCTGCTCTGCCCTTTGCAGGCGCGGACAGAGCCGTGCTTCCCCAGCTGCGGACTCCTGTTGTACGAAAGGAGTATGGTGTGCCCAAGAAATAGGATGTGAGCAGAACGAGGTGGGATCAGAGGCAGTAAAGTAACTTCCCACACTTCTGTATAGGGTGTATCTCACCACCTTTCCAGCTTGTCCCCACAAATTCTAAAGGTATATGTGCTGCAGCACACTCTTTTTTCACTCCTGTGTGTCTAGAGGGGCTGGATCTCTTGTGTCCCATCTCTCAGGGGGCAGCCAGTGCTCTGAATGGCATCTACCTTAACCACAGAATCATGGAATGGTTTGGGTTGAAAGGGATCTTAAAGCTCATCCCATTCCTGCCTCCTGCCGTGGGATGCCTTCCACTAGCCCAGGCTGCTCCAAGCTCCATCAGTTCAGCAGGGAAGCAGCTTTGTGCCATTTCCCTGGGTGCACTCCAGCACTGGCATTCCCCTGTCACGGCTGCGGGGCTTTGCTGGAGGGTAGATAGAGCACAAGTGTGATGTGACAATGCTGAGTTACTCTGCCCCTACCTCTGCCTGTGCCTGTTTTCTGTAATTTGTGCCTTCTGTAATCATGCAAGTATTAGCCTTAGTGCCTCGTCCATATCCTAATTTGGATGATATATTTTTGCAGTTTCACTAGAAGCAGTATTCTCATTCCTGCTCATGAACTGTGAGACAGTTTTGCAGCAAGTTACTCAACAGTTGCTAAATTCTATGAGGGATGGCTGCACATTATTGCAGTTGAAAAGGAGGAAGAGCCTAATGTACTTCTCACTTTGTCTACCCAACTGCCTGTATAGCTGTGTTATATGTTTCTGAATAAAAACCATGGGCTTTATGCCACTATGATACAGTTATTTCATATTAGAATTGTATCCCCAGTCCAATTGCTTTATATTATGGAGGAGATGGCAACTGCTTATGTGGTTAGGCTACCACATACTTCACATTATTATAAGGCATTATCTCACTCATTTTTAAAACTTCTTTTCCCTAATACATTCTCAGACCAGTGGTGCTAGATGCAGGCTATTTATATTTACTAGAGAAAATGGCCCAAAGCTGTAAATGGGACTTTCTATGTAGAGAGGATCCTTGATGAAATTATTTGTTTTTGCTGAACTGTTTCTTGTCAAAAATGACCATTTCTCTTTCCCCAGGGAGAGAAAAGTGTGGGGGGTTTTTGTTTGTTTTGTTTGCATTTTTGTTTGTTTCTGGGTTGGTGGTTTGTTTTGGGTTTTTGTTTGGGTTTTTTTTTTGTTTTTGTTTTTTGTTTGTTTGTTTTGTTGTTCTTCTTGTTGTTGTTTTTTCCCAGAAAAATAATTTATTGTTTTCTAGAATAATGACTGATTGTGGTGTATATACCAAAATCAAGTACCCAGCAGTGACTGAGCAGCAGATCTGTACACTCCAGACAACCTGAGCTTGCAATGAGATGATTTAACCCTGAATTCCTTGGGAGTTTGATGTGTTGTGAGCCAGTTGGATCAGAACTGGCAGTTGTACTTCAAATGCAGCAACATTGCTCTCCTCCTTAAAGGGTATCATGAGTCAAGGGCTCCTCTGGCTGCTTTTCCTGCATGGGACTGGGTCAGGGCCAGAAAACAATGCCAGCTGAGAGAGAAGAAAGGCAGCTTTAGTTTTACTTTTTATTTCTTTGGAAATTGCAGGCCAAATTTGGATGGAATATAAAGATTTGTCATCCACAAACATTGCACAGTAACAGATTCCTGCTTGGGCTTTGCCTTTGCTAAAGGACAGTTGTGCAGACAGTGGTGACAGAAGAGGTAAGAACTGTGAGAGAAGATGGCTTTAGGCTCCCAAAAGTTATCTACCAGCCCTCAGCTGCAAGAACATTAGTTTAATGTTGCCAACAAGACAAGACTGAAGGCATTGGTCTTACTGCAATGAGAAAAAGGGGCTGAAGTTAAGTACTTTTAATTCTATTTCTCCACTAGCTAGATGTATGAGCAAACCAGATATTAAAAAGATAATTTAGAAAACACATTATACTAGACATTTACCTTTCATGGTAATTATTCGTGTTTCTCTTCAGTAGCTTCAAAACTGCATTGAGCACTGGAGATGAGGTAGAAGAGTTTCTATTTGTGGAGCTTTACAATTTCTCTCCTATGTTCCATTCTTTCAATTTTCTTCTCATCCAGTAAAGTTCTAATTCTTGTTTATATCAGTCTTTGTTGTCATGGAAATATCTGAAGGCTTTGAACTTACAATCATTATGTGTTTATTGTGGAGAGAAGAAGAAACTGGAAAACAAGACTGTAAGGTAGAGATTCATTTTAAAATGATGCACCTTCAAAACTCAGAGAAAAGCAAATTCAGGTTTTTTTATTATATCCAGGGACAGAAGGTGTTTTGACTGCTGTTATAAATATGGTTTAGAGCAGAAGGTAGCACCTGGTGTATGCTTTCAAAGGTTATGGTTTAGCAACTCTCATCACTGAGGAATGCTGTTGGAATAGCAGTAATCCAGCTTAATAAAGTAAAACACAGAATAAACTCAAGTTACTTTACAGATAGTTATCTAGCAGTAATATCTGCAAGCAGACTTCAAAACTGCTAGTTTATCAATCAGCAAAGCTGTGCTCTACAGTCACTAATTCTGCAGTTAGACTCAGCTCACTGGGTCCCACTGGGCATCGTGTTGTGTCCCTGTTCCTCAGACTCACTCCCCAACTCCAGAGAGAACACCATCCCTTGGTGCAGTGGTTCCACCCCTGCCATGGGAGGGACCTTCCACTATCCCAGCTGTCCACCCAACCTGGCCTTGGATACTCCCAGGGATCCAGGGGCAGCCACAGCTTCTCTGGGCACCCTGTGCCACGGTGTCCCCACCCTCACAGGGAAGAGTTCCTTCCCAATATTCCATCTATCCCTGCCCTCTGACACTGTGAGTCCATTCCCCTTTGCCCTGTCATTCTGTGCCCTGGTGAAAAGTCCATTTCCAGCTTTCTTGGAGCCTCTTCAGGTCCTAGAAAATGCTTTAAATTCTCCCAGAACCTTCTCTTCTCCAGGCTGAACAAACATCTTCTACTGTAGTTTGGTAATGGGTAAAGATCAGATGTTTTGCTACTAAAGAAGAATTCCCAGTGCTTAAATAATTGCTAAAGCCCTGAAACATGAGAAGTACCTCAAGGGAAATGCTCAAAATTTTGTCCTCTGGTCACAAGATCATTTTCAGGGATTTCTTCAGCTTACTGTTGCCAGATGCTGCTTACCAGCTGGGATCTGGAAGCCAGTTATATGGAATTACTCAATATGGCATTGCTCAATAATTTGCATTTTGTCCTTTGCATTGAATCATCTCTGGCCATATATCTTAGTGAATCATATGTGATACCAAGCAATGTCAGGGAAATGATTTAAGACAGGGTTGTCATAGAAGCCATAGGATGATACAAATAATCACTGTGAGACTAAGTAACTCTTTAGTAAAAATGTTTTATATAAAAGTCATGTAGAAAAAAATTACAATAGTCACATGTTAACACAACCTAAAAGAATTTGCTACATGTGTCATTCAACATAAAGTGAGATGAAAAGTGTGAGTCAGGACACAGCACAAACAAAATTTGCTATATTTTTCCATTCTTCTTTAAAGGTGTCCTGTCTGATATCCCTTGATAATCCTCCCCCAAGATAAGATCTGGCAACCAAGCCTTCAGATCACTCAGAAAATTACTATTTGGTGTGATTCCTGTTGCAATATGCCCTGCATGCAGTGATCAAATCTGCTAGCAGGGGTCAGTCCTGTGCTGAAACCACCAAGCCCAGTCCATCTGCAAGGAGAACCTACAAAAAAGTCTTTTCTCCAAGGTATCAGACATACAGGTATGTAGGGAATGGCTCTGTTCTCCAGCCTTTCTGGCCGGGAGAAAATTTCTGAATTAAATACTGAAATCAGAAGGAAAACTGTAGAAATGTTTTCTGTTCTCTGTCAAAACAGATCATTTGAGAAGGAGGAAGACCAAAGTGTTCCAGCAAATAGTGAAGAATTTCACATATTTGATTGCCACTGAACACAGCACGTGTGACACTGTTAAACAGCTGGCAGAAGTTAAACCTCATTATTTTCAGCTTACACTGGTGTGTTTTTTGGCCCCAACCTGCCAAAAGGAGGGTATTCCTGAAATTCTTCTCTTGCTGCTCCAACACAGCATTTAAGTGAGACAAGCTACCTGCTTGTGTGACTGGCCAGACAAACCCAGGGGCTGTGTCTGCTGATGCCCTGCTGCTGCCTGGGCAGGCAGATGAGCCAAGCCTGTTTACTGCTGAGGCCCATGAGCAGGGGCTGCTCTGATTGAATTACCACAAGGTGCAGGTCAGTGGGAGAGTTCCCACGGCAACCCCAGTGTATTCAAAAAATAGACAGCCAGACTTTATCCTGCCATCCAAAGCAACATTTGCAGAACTGTCTTCCTTTCCCTCCAATTTTTTTTTTCCACCTTTCCCACTGTTTCCTGTGAATCTGGGCAAAATGCATTCATGATGCAATTTGCTATTCCTCCACTGACAATGCTACAGATGTGCTGATTTACACTGATTTTTACTGTGCCCACAGTCTAAACTTTCAAATACTTTTAATACAAAATAGTCATTTTCATAGAAGTAAAAAATATACTGTTCATTTTTTTAAAAAATGTATTTTAAAAAAAACATTGTGAGAATTTTCCACCCATTCCTAAAAATTAAATCAAATAATTACAGCATTATCTAAATAAGCAGCATTTTTGTAACTACAGATAGTTGTGCCCGTTTTCCTAAAAATGTTAGTCATTGGGGTGTGTTATTCTACATTACATCCTAACAAACACAGGCAATACAAATAAACATGGAAGAATCTTGTCATGCCTAACTTGCTGCAAATTTCTCACAGAATTCAGTATTTATGGAAACCCACTTTTTTTTTCTGGATCCAGTTCTTGCTGTCAACAAGTGTAACAGCAACTGCATTACTGAACTTACTGGGATCCTGGTGAGAATGTCTGCAGCAGAGTAATTAACTAAATAGGCACTGTTACAAAATGTTGATCAAAACACAGATTGATTTCAAAAGCTCTTCAGTGTCATTCCAGCAGCTGTTCTTATGTACAATATGCTGTACAAGACAAATGTGTTTACTCAAGACACGATCCTGGAGCATGCTTAAGCACATACTTAATTTCAAGCATGTGGATACCCTGATGTAGTCAGACCGTTTGTGTGCTTAAAATTAATTAGGTGCTTAAGTGCTTTGTTGGATGAGATGAAGATGTGCAGCTTCTGCAAAGCTCCTGTTCAAAAAAATTTGGGAGAAATTCCACAGGCACTTGGGCACAATATGTACAAAGGCTCCTGATATATTCAAAACGGGGTCCCAGAGGAGAGCACAAATAAAATTTGATATCCAGTCTCAGCATCCGCCATCCCTTTTGCCACAGCTGAGCCAGCCTGGAGCATCTCTGCTGCTGCTGAGCACTTACCTGCCCAGGGCTCTGGCCAAAGGTATCACCTGAGGGCTGTGAATCCCTCACACATTCCCAGCCTGGCTGCCTGTGCCTGCACAGAGCATTGCCACCCCCAGCCAGCTGCTGCTGCTCTTCCTGGCTGCTGGAACAGAACTCGGCATGCGCTGAGTGAGCTGAGAAAGGGCAGGCTGCTCTTTTTGGTATCAATACAGCTTTTGCTTGTGATCCCCTATTTTATAGGAATTTAAGCTGTCCCTTACTAGAAAAAACTGGGCCCATTTGGGATCATGATTTTCATGTTCTAACTGATCATGAAGGCTCCAAAAAAACTTGCTTCTTTGTCCATGTCAACTATGTCACTGTTGCTGACAGAGACAAAAATCCTGTCCTCTCTCTTCAGCTGGAACACACCACCTTGATAGATGGAATAAAGTCCATATTCCGCCTTTTTAGACCAGCAGCTCGTCCTTGCACTCTTCATGAGCAAAATGGGCTCAGGGTAATTAGTCAGTTTGTAAACATACTGGACAAGCTGTTTGGGGTTTCTGATTTGTCCCAGCAAATCTGAGTCCTCGTTCTCGTTTTCACGGAAGCGAAAGTAAATTTGCGAGTAGATGTAATAAAAGCCCGTCTGGGGTATCACTAACTCGCCATTTCTCAGCTCCACATTGTGAAGGAAGGAGTGGCCTTTTCTTGATGATTCCCAGTTGTTTATTTTGTGTCCAATTCCTCTTCTGGGAAAGGGATTTACTTGAAAAGAAAAAAAGAAATGCTAACTTAAAAGACAGGTAGTGAAGTCAAGTGTCTGCTAGCTGAGAAGCCTGGTTTTTAATAACAAAGTAAGGAAACCTGCTCTTCCCAGCAGTTCATTAGGTCCATCTCACAACAATTTGATGGTCCATAAGTAAGCTTTATGTGGGAATTAACATGAACTGCCTTTATTTTTAATATTTGTGCCCCCAAGTAAGGGGAAAAAATGGTGTTTTCACTTAGTAACAAAGTTAAAATATCCATTAGTGTCTGAGACCCTCTGAAGCTGCAGAAAGCCAAGCAAACCCTTCATTAACATGGTCTGAATGTCAAGTCTCTCCTGTCTGTCTCACATTTCTAATAGGTCTGTCACCATAGCAGCTGGGACTCGCACAACCGACAGAAGGAAATGAAAGAAAAGAGGAAAACTTAACACTAGCAAGGACATTTAAATTTCTTTTTCCCCCTAATGAGGGCTCCAAAAGAAGAGCTAGGGAGGTACCCAGAGGAAATGGGTTTTTTTGCTTTGGTGGGAATTAGCAGAAAAAACCAATGTCTGGGACAAGACAATTCATTTCCTACTACAAACTCAATACAAGTATTAAAAGGTGTTTGTAAGCACGAGGCTAGCAATGGGAGAGTAACTGAATTAATTTGGTGGTCTTTATGTCTGTTGAAGGTTTCTCCTTACTGCGTGAGGACAGGGAGCTCCTCCTGCTGCTGCTGCCCGTCAGGTGCGCCGCGATCCTGCGGCTGGGACCGCGCGGCTGCTGCCCCTCCGTGTGCGGCAGCGTCAGAGTCCTGTCAACTAAAAGGAAAAAGAAACCCCATGTCAGGAACGAGGGCTTTAGAAAGCACATCTGTTCCATCTGACTTGATTTTAAGGAATAGCTATGCCACTTTTTAATTGACTAAATCATAGACTGATGGCTGATTATTGGCTAATCAAATTCCGCTTTCACTCTTGCTCATGAAATGTCTTTAAGTGCCTCTTTGTTCTCCTTTTTCTCCTCCCTCTGCCTTCAAGTCATCAACAGACAAAATAACCTGTAGTACTCAATCTTATGGTTAAATATTCCTAATCTCCCTGTGAATTTCCACTTGGAGGCTGTAATGCTTTCACCCAGCATCTTTAGTGTGAGCTTCAGCAGAGCTATTCCTTAACTGATCTCTGCAGCACTGTGCTGCGTGTTCTAGGAGCTGGAGTACTGGGAGGGCTTTTTAAAACATCCCCCATACACATGGGGCTGACATCTAGAGGCTGAGTCCTCTGCATGCACCTTGGTTACCTTGCTCTAACCACTTCTGTCTCCTGTAAATTTACCTTCTAGTAATAAGTAATCATTTTTTGCCTACATTCGATGACTTGAGGCCAAGACAAGACCTTAGTCAGTTTTCTGCACTTTTAAAAAATCAAGTCATTACACATCAAGTGCCACTAGCAGCTCCCTTTTACCACAGATAATAAAATTATTACAATACCGTTGATTGCAGATATGTTTTCCTCATAGCTTTTTGACATCATCTGCCAACAAAAACAATAAAAATTAATTAGCTTATCAGCTGAGGCTGACAGGGGCAGGAAAAAGACACACCTTTTTTTTTGCTAATGAATAAGGGGGATTCTGGATTTGATCAACAAGCAAATAGGGAAAAAAAAGTACCTATTAGTTTGTTGTAATAAAGAATTTCTATGTTTACATCTTTTAGGTGATGAAAGACACGGGAAAATATTTTCAAGAGCTCAGGCAAAAGTATGTTGAAAAATCTGAATCTCATGCTTCTCTCAAATAAGAGAAGTGTCCAAGCACCAGCTTCCATTTGCTTGGCAGTGTGAACTATAGGGTTGTAGATCTGAGAAATCAAATTTAATTTATTTTTATATCTCTGCCTATCTAAGATCTTAATCCAGCATATTTTACTTTGTGCATTCCCCTTCTTCATAACTGCTGATTACTGACACAAACCAGTTTGGTATGGACAGTGGTGCAGCAGCAGCAAGTGTGGTGATCATTTACCTGGGTGGCTAATAAAGCCTGTATTGCCAATTTTTGATGGGTTTTGTCCTGCCACATTTCTGTTATCCATCTACCCTAATAGTAATAGTGGTATTATCATAATTGTAACTCATTTCTGGCACCCAGCCTATGTTTTTCTAAGCAATCAGAGAGCTAGTAGGTATATTAGCCAAGTAAAATAATGCTTTCTTTGTGCAGAAGTTCAGGGACTTCACAGGCAGAGCTCCCACCAAAGGAGCTGAGATCTCTGAATACAAATAGAGAATATGGTTTGGACTGCAAGGTCTATTTTTGCCAGGAAATTTCAGCCAGAAGAGAATTGCTATGGATGAGCTTGTTTATGTGCTGGAGATGGGATTTTGAAAGGAGTTCCAGAAAATTTTAGCCTTTGTGATCTTTCAGCCAGGCTGGCTTTGTTCTCTGCAGCCAAAACGATGTGAATGGTGTGTAAGTCATGCAGGAGGTGCTCCTTGGGAAGGTGCTGTGCCTGATGCTGCGTGCCCACTTGCTCTTTCCTCCATCACTGCATCACACAGCTCGTGACTGGACCACTCCTTGGGCACCTTTGTACTTCTCCCTGTGTTACATTTAATCTCATTTTCTCTCCCCAGTCTCCTTGTTTTTCCAAAGAGGCAGTGACAGCTCTGATAACACCATGATCTGTATGGCCAGGTACAAACCCTCTACCCTGAGGTATTTCTCATAAGCCAACCCACCACTGGAATTTGCTTAGTAAAAGCTGATAGTCTTTATTATTTCCTGAATGCAATGACACTAACAGCTTTCATGGGTTGTTTTTTCCTTTGCTTCAGTGCAAGCATTCTGCAGCTGGAGCTGTGGCCTGACAATTGCTTTGCAATACAACAATCTGAGCCTCCTTTATTCTGCTATTAGGATTCCTTCACCTGTAACAACACCAAGCGCACTGTTCCCAAATACCTTTTTAATTAACTTTCCCAGGTGCCACTTTACTTGCCAGCAGGGATCAGCCTCTCTGTCTTCACTGTCGAGGAGCTCCAAGTTTTGGATGGAATTTCCAATCTCCTCCCCGGTGAGACAAGCGATGCCGCCCTTGGAGTACGAGTCCTGGAGCTGCAGCAGAGGGAAAAACCAGGATTTTTCATCCATCTGTTTGCAGCTGTGGTGTGTCACTATATTCACTAAGTGATCAGAAACACACACTTTCTTTTCTCTTTTCTCTAAAGCATTTGCTAGTATGGTGCAAACAGGGCTATATGAACAACAAGAGGATTTATTTCATCCTGATCTGACATATTTATATATGAGGGCATACCTCACGTGCAAAAATATGCTTGCATTATCTGCATGGACACAAATCTGGTATCCAGTATTCAACTTAATAGATTTTGTGAAAATTCAACACCCAAATCCCTGATATGGGAAACTCTATTTAGGGTCTCTAGTTCTGCATTAGAAACATTTCTTCAGCACAATATTGTTTTTTAAACAAATTATTGAGGAGGAAATCAAATACTAGAACTTAAAAGTATTTTCTGTGCTGTATTTTCTACCAATTGCATTTATAATCCAGACCTTTGCTGTTATTTATCTCTGTACCATATCCTCCCCATATGCCATTTGGTGTCTCTCCTAACACCATTTGTCCTAATAATCCAGAAAACTGAAATGACATTTGAGTACAAACAAAATTGTAACGCTAGATGGTTTTGACATGAAAATATCAACTATCTGTATCCCCTAGTCATGGAGAATTTTTTTTTTCCTTGCAAAGATCGAAGAGATTGGCAAAACTCCTTTTGGCTCCCAGGGAGTATGACTGGGAGGGTTTTCCTGGTGGAGATCTCTCTCCAGGCTCCCTGCGGACGCGACTCCAGCTGGCGCTGTTGGTTAACGTGGGAGCACAGAACCTGAGAGCAGCCCTTGTTTGCTTGGAACTGGGCTCCTGCTGCATCAGCTGCAGACTGCTCCGGCTTGGGGAGCCAGCAAAGCACCACGGGCACTTGGAGGGAACAGCAAGAAACATGCAAAGCATTCAGATGGAATCCTGCTAGCAGCATTTCAATGTCACTCTTTTGTTGTGTTAAAGAAGCTTGGTTTGGTTTGCTAAACAGATGCAGGTTTTAGCTGTTTTTGAGACTGGGGTACTGAAAGCAACAGGTGGATTTTCTCCTTCACACTCCATGCTTTTCCTGGCTGTTGGAAAACAAAGGCGTTTAGGAAGAGATTTCCTGCTACAGGGGCAGGAGATTTCACCTCCTTCAAGGCCCACCTTCAGTTTGCAGCAGCAGATTCCACTGAGCTTCAGCTAGTACTTGAAATGATGCATTTTGGAGGCAGCAGAAAGAAAAGGGTGTTTGTGAGAGTTTCTGTGTCCTTGCCAAGGAGTACAGCGGTATTTTTAAATCAGGTTTCAAGAACTCAAAGTGATTAATATTATGTGCTCATTAAGGTAAAACTACAGGCTCAGACCCATTTAACTATACAATGAGCTTCTATAAAAAAGTAGTTTGACGAGTTCAAGAAAAAAAGCCAGACAAAGGCAAGTTGTGAGGTTACTGTTTATTCGCTTGCAGACTTGTCACAGCTCAGCTCCCAGCTCTGCCCTCCCATTTGGGAGCAAACAATCCTGTGCCTCTGCCTCCACCTTACTTGCTCACTTTTCCCCAAAACAGCTTCACTCTCCTGGCACTGTAACCTTACTTTGTATGCAGTTTGAAACCTCAGGGAACGCCAACCCTGCAGCAGCACATTATGGAACCGAGGGACTGGAATTTCTCAAATGAGGTTTATCTGCAGCACTGAAGCCTTTGGGGACACAACTCCTTCAGGAATGTTATCTTTTAGAGCCTCCCTCCTATGTTAGGAGTGGTTACTGGACTGTTGTTGGTAAAGAAGGAAGCCTGAGATTGTTTTCCTTCTAGCCTTATATCCTGAAGCATAAGAACTTTATTGTCTCTACTTCCTCTTAAAACAAAACAGTTAAAAAAATGCCATACTCCTAATTAGGTTACTGCAGCTGCAATGAACAAACCCTGCTAGTTGCCAGCATGCTTTTTGTAGAGGTAGTAACCTGCAGTCTGTGCAGCCACAGTAATTTGGGGAAGGTGTAGAAATGCAGGTATTACGAACAAAAAAAAAAAAAGGGAAGAAAAATGCACAGATAAAAAATCACAGTTTATCTACAGAGATTTATTTCACATGCATGATGTTGATGTGGGGAAGCAGGCTGTGTCCAGATGAGTTTTTTCCTGTTTACTGTGCACCAAATTGCACATGCAGGAATATGTGGTTAAGGTACCCCCTTCAGAGCTAACAACCTTTGTTTGCAGCCCAGCACAACTTCAGTTTGGACAGATTTAACCCTACACAACAAATGCAGGCTTGTTATTCTTCAGAAACGGTGAGTTGTATTTTGGGTAAGTCCCTGGGATGTAGTTGTGTCCCAGGTGTACATGTTTGAATAGAAGGAAGGAAAAGATAAATGTGGTTACTAATTACTTAGACTGGCATGTTTGTTAGCAAGGGACTCTGAACTGTGTACATGAGGGAAGGAGGATGCCTTTACATATTTTTCTTCATTAGCAATCATCTAACCTGATCTTATAAAGTAAACACATTTCTGTGACTCCCCCATTGGACAGTGACAGCTATAAATTCAGCAGGAAAATCTGTTTTATATATTTTAAGAGTATGAGCATTGGCTCCTGTTGCAGAACACTGCACACCCTTTGCCTCACAGAGAACTCTGACATCTCAGAATACTTCACCTATTAAATCTAATGTGGAGTAAATGCATATATAGCATAATATGCATAGCTACATTATTATTAATACTGTAATTAATTATGTATCACTGAGTGCTTATATACAATAATAACTTACATTTATGCAATATTTTCTGAAGCTGTACATGTACAGAACACTTACCTGCAGGTAGGTTTACCTGTGTGCCAGGAGTAACAACATCCAGGCACAACTTAAAGCAGGACAGTCAATGTGGGGTAAGACCATGGAAACCCTGAATAACAAGTGGTCCTTGAAAAGCAGGGCCACAAACATGGGACTAAATTCAACCTTCTTGGAGTGCAAATGATCTTTTCCAAGAAGAGGGAAGAGTTAAGCAGCAGCTGCCAGGCCTCAAGGGTGGCTGCAAGGAGACCAAAGCATCTAGACTATACAGTGGGTATGTTATAAATTACTCTGGGGAATGCAGCGGTGTTTGCCGTCTGGTACAGTTCCTTTAGGATTAGTCACAGTCTTAAAACCATGTATTATCTACAGGAAGCATCCACGAGGCGCTTGAGCTTTCCCCAGCCCTCCTCAGCCTGACAGAGCCTCTTCCACCCATCCCTCCCGCACCGCACAAAGTGATGAGGCGGCGAATTTGCGCCCTAACGAGAAACACATTTCCTGCGAAAGCGCCGGACTTTGTTGGCTCGAGTCTGGCACCGCGTCCGGCCCGGCTCGGAGCTCCTTTCCCCGCGCACGGCCGCGCTGCGGACCAAGCGCAGCGAGCGGACTCGTTCCGCGGGGCGCGGGATGCTGCTGCCGCCGCTGCCCGCATCCCCCCGGCCCCGAGCGGCCTGTCCCGGGGCACAGAGCGGGCAGCGCGGCTCCCCCCGCCGCCGAGCCCCCACAGACCTGTCGGAGCTCGCTGGTGAAGTAGAGGAAGGTGACGGCCACGCACACGGACTGCAGCAGCACGGCGCCCACCAGCACGGCCCCGCAGGTCTGCGCGGGGCTGGGGCCGCCCGCCGGCAGCATGCTGGGGCTGGCTGCGGCGGCAGGGCCGGCCGGGGGCTCCGGGGGCTCCGGGGGCTCACGGCCGCTGTCCCGCGGCGAATGCGGCCCCCGACGGCCGCGGCGCTCAGCCCGCCCCGCCGGGGATGGATGGAGCGGGGCGTGCTCCCTCGGCCGTGCCCTGCCCCTCTGCTCCAGCCCTCCCTCTCTTGTTTTAGTCCTCCCTCCTGTTTCAGCCCTCCTCTCCCAGGTTCCCCGCCCTCCATTCCCTGCCCTCCCGGGTCCCGCCGCTTTCTCCGCCTCCCCGCAGCGCGGGATCGTCGCTGAAGTGTGCGGTCGCTGCTCTCAGCTGCTGCTGGAGCATCTCCGAGCAAACCCTCCCTGAGAGTTTGCCACCAGAGAATGGTGGAAGGTGGTTTTTAAAAGACGTTAAGGCTCTGGTTGTGTGCGCAGAGAGGCACGGAGTTTCCCGAGTTCAAGATGTGTAGTGGAATCTTAGAATCACAGATTGGTTTGGGTTGGAAGGGACCTTAAAGTTCAGCTCGTCCAACCCCCTTGCCATGGGCTGGGACACTTTCCACTATGCCAGGTTGCTCCAAGCCCTGTCCAATCTGGCCTTTGGCACTTCCAGGAATGGAGCATCCACAGTTTCTCTGTGCAGCTTGTGCCAGTTTTTCACCACCCTAAGTGTAAAAATCTTTTCATTGTAAATAACTTCTTTCTTATACCGAATCTGAATCAATGCCTTTCTTCACAGGAGAGGTGCTCCAGCCTTCTGAGCATCAGTCCAATAGGTCCATGTCCTTCCTGAGCTGCCCTATCCATGTGTTATCCTCTGCAGCTTCTCCTGTGGAGCTGAACCATCACAGAAAGGTGCTTGTGAGCTAAAAATCAGTGCCAAGAGTTGCCAGTGCTGCCAGTGCTTCTACACCCTGGTCATGACACGATAATTGGCACAGTACGTGGACATCAGGTACATTTTGAGCTTTCTTGATCTGATGGCACTTTGAGGTTGGTTTGGTTGGTTTTCAAACCTCTAACGCTCCTTCTTGTCCTTGCTTTAGGGTGTGTCCATTAACTTTCCCTGGGGTTCTGATTCCTTAACCTCCCACAGTCTGGGTTATAACCAAATCCATAATTATCTGCTGATACTTTATTCATTCTAGTTGTTTAGGGAGGTCCTATCTCATTTGAGGGAGTTTCCTTTCAAAAAGAATAGAAACAAAAGTGAAAGAGAACTAGGACACTACAGGGAACTTTTGTTTACAATGAGGAGTTGGCTTGGATTCTGTCTTTTTCCAGCCCCTTCAAGGCTTTCTCTTTTCAACAGAATTATTTTGTAGGTTAATATACCAACTGAGGAAAGATTTTTTTCAAGACCTTATTTGTTGCCCTCTATCAGGCACGGTCTGTGTCCCCCTGACCCATCATTTAAATCCTCCATGGGTATTTCTGATTTAATACTTATTTAATTAGTGCCAGTCTTGCAAAGCAAAATTAATGAAGTATGATTTGAAAAGAGCAATGGGAAAAGCACACTCAAATCCGTCTCTTAAAAAAATTACGAGATCACTATCTTTCTGAAGATTTAAGATCTGTTTTTTTTCCACACTGACAGGATATTCCAAAAGTGAAATTCCAACCGTTTCCAGCATTGAATGCACTGGAAAATTTTTGCTACTTTCAATGCTCACTTTTCCAGAATTATTTTTTGTCTCTAATAAGTGTAAATTTATACGGAAAATAATTTATTTTAAAGGTTCCAAGAGTTGAAAATTAGTGTTTTGATGAAATTTTGCCACAGTAAAGCTGGGGCATTGACACCAGTGGGAAGGAATGGTGTTAGCATACTTTTAAACAGAACCAAGTCATGTGTGTTTGTGTAGTGCTAGACCAGGGCATGTCCCCAACAAAACCTCTGATACTTGCTCCTTCATCCTGTTAACGCTTACTCAGTGAGCCATTTAATTAGAGATAAACCTTAATCTGTTCTGTGGACTTAGGATGTGTCACTTGGCATGTCAAGGAAACAACTGGCAGGGGACCTGCCACACTTGTCCCCAGCAGTGTGGCAAGTAGGAATGTAAAATGGCTAAAATGGCTCTGGAAATGTGTAAAAATGAAGGAAGAGTGACTTGGAAAAGTCCTTCAGTTCCCCATTCCTTAATGATTGCAAGGATGGGGGTGATGATGTTTTCAGAGAGGATGCTTTCCAAGGCAGACAAAGCAGAGCTGACTTTCTGGTATGTAGCAGCTCTTGACTTTGATTTCTCTGCTGAGCAGTAAAAGGGGCTGAGTTTTTATCACAGCATGAGAACATGTGAACTACACAGTGCTGTAGCTGCAGAGAGGGAATGAAGCTGTTCTTCCTTCCCCCCAGCAGCACCTGAATGCTGCTCTTGGTTTGCACTTTGCTTCTCCAGCTATAGTTCCCAGAATGCAGGTGCTGCCTGTTTGGCTCTGAGAGCACAGTGGGAAATTCCTGTCTCCTCTCCTTCCTGAAGGGAGAGGGAAGTTCCTTCCCACCTCTGCAGCCTCCCAGTTCATCTCTGGGGCAGTGCCACGCTCAGCTTCAGGGCACAGCTCATGAACAGCCTCAGCCTGCCAAGCCCCCCAGTTAGGCAGGCAGCACAGGGTTAACCTTGCAGTGTGCTCCTGAGCCCTGCACATGTGCTGGACAGATCACATCTGGCTCCTGTGGTTTGCTTATTCCTTCATGGTCCCTGTGCCAAATTCCGACCTCATCTTTTACTGTCACTTGTAAACCATCTCAAATCCATGAGTTCATGCTGATTTGTACTGTCAGGGGATCAGGATCTATTTATCAGTGCAATAGCCTTTGGCCTGTGGCGTTACACAAACAACTGCAATTGTTTGGCTGGCCCAAAACATACCTGTGAATTAAATTAGCCAGTCCTGACATCTCTCTTTTAATTTCCCAAGCAGTGGATTTGATAAAAAGAGCAGGCACTATCTTGGATGGACATGCCACAATCATGTCCAAAAATGCTGTAGAAACAGTATTCCAGATCTAACTTTGGATCTCTCCATTTTGGTTAAGAAAATACTTAACTAAAAATAAATACCTTTTGCCTGTTAATATACTGTGTCTATTTTAGGTTGGTTCTTAACTTTAGTCAGTTATATAGGGGCACTTGCAAAAGTACATTGTCCCTTCTGTGTGCTCATTATGAAATCTCTCTTTGAGACATTTACTATCATAAAATCACTGAATGGTTTGGGTTGGAAGGGACCATAAAGCTCATTCAGTTCCAACCCCTGCCATGGGCAGGGACACCTTCCACTACCCCAGGTTGTTACAAAGCCCTATCCATCCTGTCCTTGGACACTCCCAGTGATGTGGGCACTCTGTGCCAGGGCCTCATCACCCTCACAGGGAAGAATCTCTTCCCAATATCCCATCTAATTCTGTCCTCTTTGAATCTGAAGCCATTCCCACTTGTCCTAACACTAGAACTTCTTTCACTTTCAAGCACCAGATATTGTCATGAGGCACATCCCAGGAAAGCACCCACGTGTTACCCACTGAATGAATACAGCTGGTTTCACCAAGGTGCCCTGACTCAAAATTCCTTCCCACAGTGGGATTTTTTTAACATAAATCAATTCTGTGTCATTGCTTTAACTATGATATGTAATACCACAACAGAGGTTTCTGTTTGACAGAAAGGTCTCACATTTCAACAATTCTGTTTGTCTTAGAGTGACGGGTTTTGGTTAAAGAAAAGTTTCTGAATATGTCATTTTGGAATAATGGAAAGGACTTTATCATTGCAACAACATATATATTCATTGCAAGGACACATGGCTCTGCTTTCCTGTATTCCCCAGAGATCCCTGAAGTAGCAGCAACTCTTTCAACTGCAGATTCCAAAGCTGGACCTGGCCTTGTGGCTGTTCCCTTGTGACACAACCAGTCTTGTGTGAAGCATAGATGATGCTCCCTGGCTAGGGGAGCAAAGGGAATATTTATAGATGCTTTCAAGTCTTTTTCTGTGTTACACTAACAAAATGATAATGTTGAAATAGGTTCATTGCAATCTCAGCTCTGGAGGGAGCTGGGAAGAGGTCCATAACACATCCATCTGCCTCCACAACATTTCAGAGAGGAAGAATTGTCTCTGGCATACAGCAAAGCCTTGCTATGCAATCAACTTAAGCCTTGAAGCATGAAATTTGATTTTCTTTACCATAGGTAAGTGCTTTTAAACTCCACTAAAAATGGAAGACAAATATTTCTCTTTAGGGTGCCAGTTGTGTATGCAGAGAAATTACATTTTTTTTGAGGCTTCTTCTCAGCAAAGCATCTGTCACATACCTGTCTATCTTCATCTGGGTTACAGATTCTTCCTGGGACATATTAAAATCAGTAACAAGGCTATAGGTAGAGAAATAAAGGAAATTTGTGTTTCCTTGCTGAGGGAATCTGCCATTCACAGTCCTCTGTGCTGCTGGCAACACGTCCAGGGCACTTCTCAGATGGGCTCTCCCAGCTGGCAGCAAAATGCTGTGGATGCAGAGGAACTGGGGAGGAGCAGGTGGGGATGATTTGTGCTTCCAAGAAGCCTCTTCCCAGCAAACCAGGGCTATGTCTTCTCTTGCCATTGAAAAAACCATGGAGTGAATTAAGTTCTCAGTTATGTCCAGAAGAATCTGCTTTCCTGCTGTCATAGTTTGGTTTCACCTACAACATGTTTAATCTGTGTTGAGGTTATGTGGATTGGATTTTGCATTTCTATCAGCACAGCCCCCATGAGAGCACACTAATGGCAGTGGGGAAGAGCTTTGTCTGCATCTGCAGCTACAAAAGCATCACTGTGACATAAAACTTGATACCCATTGCTGTGTGTCCACTTTCTGGGCTTATTTACTCTGTGTCCTGCTGCTGGGGAAGCTTTGGGACTGCCTGGTGGCTGCTTTGTTCTGAGGACCCTGGGAAACATCGTGGACTCTGATCTATAGGATGTGGATCCAGCTCCTGGATGATTGAGCAAGTGCTGCATATTTCACTCTACATACTACTACACAAACATTCTTCTACTGTTTCATTTATGTCTATTGAAAG